GTAGTTCTTACCTGAACCTTTGAATTTATCAGTGGAGTCCTGAGAGTTCTCTGGCGGCCAAACCCTCCAACAACTGGTCGGCAAATCCTGACCGCGCTTTAACTGACCGTTGGACACAAAATTATACGGGAACAATGTTTTAGTTACAAAATATTACGAGGTTACCGGAGTCTTACCGGGCCTCAGGCGAGAAAGAGCAAAATGTGAAAAGACTGTACGAACCAGAAAACGTCATTACCAGATAACCAGTTGTATGAAAGCAGAACAGACGATGATTTTCCGCGACCGGATCAACGGTGGTTTAACATACAACTGAACGTGGGAAAAGAGAGCGTCAAGGGAAAAGAAACTGATCTAATTTCACTCTATAAATGACAGCAGAACAGACCTCTATTGCTTGCTGGTAAATAAAACTTTAATAAACAACTAACATTATATTGTAAGCATGTTTTCAAACAAAAGGTCAAGCAGTCAGAGAGTGTCAAGTGACACACTTCTCTCATTTCACAGTGATCGCATCCGGAATGTAATTTCCAGCCAGAACTGATTTTTAAAACTACAATGTAAGCTATTTGTACACCAAAAACAATTTTCCAGCTAGCTAACTCTTGATAAGCTAAATTCTCAGCAAGATTCTGTTTATTACTCGGATTCCCAGCCAGCCCAACTTTAGTCTGCAGAGCGGATATTTTGCGGAGCGGATCACTCCTGAAACCTTCCAAGTGTATGATAATAATAATAGTAATAGTATTGTAACGCACGCGGGCGACAACAACTTCCAGTCAAAGAGTCCAACAGCCAACGGTTTAATTACTCGACTCTTACGTTCAGCTTACTTGTACATGGCAAGTCTACTAACACACACAGGCTACTACATAACGTGAGTCTCTTATGTATCCTGTATCACGAGTACATTGCGCATTCCGTACTCACCACATAACCGTCTCTTAGTCTTTGAACTTGTGCGAGCATACATTCAAATACAACCGTTATACCTCTTAGCACGCGCACCTTAGCTCGTGCCGAATCACTATATCAATTTCATCACAGTATTATGAGAATAATATTCCAAATCTCCTGAAGAATTATGATTTTTCCATATTTTAGGTGAAGAAAAATAGGAATTATGTTTCACGAAGTCTTTGATGGCTTTTGCAATCAAACCTATATTGAATTCAGCCGCAAGTCATGTTTCGTTGAAAGTTCTGTCCCCAAGGGATATTCATGGTAACTCTGATTGGTCGAAGCATAGCGACCCGTTTTTGGGTCGCTAAAATTGGTGGCAATCAAGTATGAGAAGTCCTTTGTCTGGCAGGTAATGAATAAACAAGATGAAGGACTTTTCTGAAAGTCTAAACAACAGTTGGTTTACTGTTTAAATATAACACGTTTATACCCAGCCCGTTATATGAAGCTCAATAATTAGGCGTAGAAATTTTCCCAGAGCTCTACGACTCTACGGTAGTATTTTGAATGTTAAGCTCTGTTTCTCTCGGATATGCGTACACCACAGAGGTGTAGTAGCATATTTAAACAATAGAACACTTTTTCCATGTTTACATAGCCTCATCTAAACACGAGGAGGGTTCGGAGAATTTGAGACAGTTATGCAAACCTGAGACGTAATAAAATAATTCTCAAAAATACGCGCAAATCTAAAACGTCACAAACGTGTTTACATACTCTCATCTAAACACCTATCGACCAATGAGAGCGCGCGTAGTAGCTCAGTTATTTTATNCAAAAGGTCAAGCAGTCAGAGAGTGTCAAGTGACACACTTCAGTCAGTGATCGCATCCGGAATGTAATTTCCAGCCAGAACTGATTAGTAAAACCACAGTGTAAGCTATTTGAACACCAAAAAAAATTTTCCAGTTAGCTAGCTCTCGATAAGCTAAATTCTCAGCAAGATTCTGTTTAATACTAAAATTCCCAGCCAGCTCAACTTTAGTCTGCAGAGCGGATATTTTGCGGAGCGGATCCGACGGGTACTCCTGCAGTCGGTTAGCTGCGGGTCGAGTGACCTCGGGCAAAGTGTATTATAAAGCGGCAACCGCTGCCAGGTGATGGTTTTTGTCAGCGAGTTGTACACGTGATGCTTCTTTTAGGACAAAACCCAGCAAAAGTAAAATTTCAACATGGCCAGACATCCCCGTTATTTCGTAATTTTTGTAAAAAATACAAGCCGACCGGTTCAAGTCTCCCGACATTCCATGTATCCCTCACGCTCTTGACACATGCAGATTACTCCACGGAAGAACCTCTATTGCTAATAAAATCCTTAAAAAAACTAACTTGTACCTAGCTGAGCCGACCTCCATGCAGGTGCTGACAGGCTTGTTACGTAATTACTGGCCACACAAGTTCAGCTAGCATGGTAAAGATGTTGTCACGTGCAAAATTGATGTTTTGTGAGTTCTCACGTGCTGTTTAAATTGAACTTGCCGGAGAGTTCCGGCTTTCCCGGTATAACTGAGTCGTTTACTAAGGTGTAAAGAATTCTCAGTTGATTGCAGAGTAATTGTATCGTATTTTATCAGAACAGTGCTTAATTTTGGTAAAGTATGTCCAGTGCCGAGTTTAAAATCTTTACAACGATATTCTGGCCAACTAAAAACAATTTTAAAATGGTATTAATTTTGTCACTTTTATGAGAAAAGTAAAATCAATAGAAACAAGAGGACATCTTGTATTTCAGTAAAAATAAATTATCGGTGTTTATTTTGTCTTTTAATGTGCATTGTTAAAGGAGCTTTTTGTACTCTTAATATGTGAGGTTTATATCTGGTGAACACTCACGGAAGACCTCAGACGACCGCAGTTCAGACCATTGAACTGTCAACTGAATGATGGAAGATAAAATCTGGGCTAAACAGGTCTTGGCCGGGAATAGATTAAGTGCGATATCTGAATTGCAAGAACACAAGGCTACTGAAAGACAAGGAAATGCAGAAGTTTCCAAGACACACCAGAGTAGTACGGCCACGGAAATGCTGCCTGGAAAGAAGCAGATACAATTTAGCACTACCGGATAATTTTCCGCTGTTTTACCCGCGGCTTATAGCAAATGCTCCGCTCATTCGCCGCTCAAAGGGACTCCCTGGGAAGATGCTGCAATCAGCTCTGTTACACAAATGAAAAGTCGAATACTAAGGTGTAAAAGAGGCTTAAAAGAGCAAGAACACATTGAATTTTGGCTGACCTTTTTTGGCTAGAAACTCAATTTCCGCAGACATCGTTGACAGGGGGAAGACAAGGTCAAGCATGTACACAAAAGTGACTATCAAAACTTAGAGGCAGTAACGATCAGTGTTTCGATTATAAGTGTCGTGAAAGTATTTATACGTAAATTTAAGGTGAACTACTGGGACTTTTTTCATGTGCAAAGGGTTATTTTTAGCTTTGCATATACTGTAGCTACTAAACAATGCTTAATTTTTTCCATAATATTATTTAATTCTTCACGGATGTTTGTTCTGTCATTGATTCGAATAATGGTGTAAGATTAAGGAACATTAGGTCACAGACTAAGATAACTGGAATTCCAACCATTAAATCAATAAAATCAAAGAAAGCTGTTGAACGTGTTTGACCCGCTTAAGGTCATCAATTTTTCTTTGCAGTTAGGTCACAACCGTTGAATATAAATTGCCTATTCTTTTCTTCAGTGTTTTAGACCTAAGCTGTTACTGTACTAAGACATCAAACATTATACGCCGCCTTATGTCAGATCTGTCATGACATTGATCAGCTAAAATATTTCAAGTAGGTCTTATTCTCAAGGAAATCGCTCTAGTTATTTTTAGATATGGTACCCAGTTTTTGTCGCCGATTACGCATATTGTCATGCGCAGTTCGGGTACATTTTCTTGAAGCCGCATGAGAATGCGTGTAGAGCCTCTTGGGCTGTCCACTTGGGCAAAATCTGCGTCACAGGGTTGGATCTTTCTAGACCTCTCTGGAATTTCCGAAACCAGGGGCCCGTTTCTCGAAAGCCCCGGAAACTTTTCGGGCCCGTAAAGCCACTTTTAGTTCATATCTAAAAACGGAGAAGTGTATACGCCTGAAACTTCTTGTAAGAAGAGAACCTCTGTTTATATTAAGAAAATGTGAATAAAACAGCTCTGTAATCGTAAGGTTCGAGATTTTGCTATGGCTTTCCGGGCCCAAAAAGTTTCCGGGCCTTTCGAGAAACGGGCCCCAGGAGAGATCTAAAACTGACGAGAGAAATTACCTTAGGAATAAGGCCTCTCTCTTACCCCTTATGCTCTCTTGCCCTTACCTAAAAATTTTCTGAAGTCTCGTAAGAGGTTTAATAATAATCTGTAGATCAGTCTCTACTGGATAGAACCATTAAGGCTTGATTGGTTTTCTTTTAGAACAGTTTTCAGTTTTTGAAAGTAATACAGCGAGTTAGTCGCACGTGTTTCCCTTAAACCTTTGTCACCGGTGTACTTCCTCAGCCTCACACTTTCTGTTTGTCAAAAGAGGAAAACTAGACTGGGGGTTACTTGGTTTCGCTTATATTTTATGGCATTCTCAAAAAGTTATTTAATTTAAGCGTGTTGAGTGAAAAGCGAGTTATTTCAATGGACTAATCACTCATTGACAGCTATTTTGATTTTGGCTTTTAGATTTGTTAAGCCGGTTTTAGTTTCGTAGTTTTTCGTTTGTTTTAAGTCATCGAGTCTTGTTTCCTTTTACGGGCTTCTCTCCCCAGGATTTCGCGCGGCCGTTTTCTTCCACGTGGTTTTCTTTCGCGTCACTCACGACAGACTGAGCGAAAGAAGAGCTACTCTTAGTATAAGCTTTGTGCGAGTCTTTCGATTCACGTGTCCAAGTTGTTTGTCTTGTCTGTTAATAGTGTTCTTAATACTAGAACTATAGCTTTCATCTGTGATCATGTTTGAGTATGTCCTGTTGACCTTGGTTAGGCCCGCCACTGAAGTTCTTGTTTAGGCGCAACCTCGTTTCCAGGGCCTCTCATCTTGCCGCCCTCCTCTCTCGCTCCGGGGTGGCGGGAAGATGGGAGGCCCTGGGAACGAGGTTGGTTTAGGCGTTGATTCTAGACGGGTGAATATTTTATTAATAATATCAAGTGCTTTGCTGTTCATTTCCAGAAGTCGCATGAAAGTGTTTGGGTTAGTGTCCAGTAAAGATGCCTAGTTCTCCACGGTCTATCGTCCCGTATGCCCACACATGCCTACCGAAAGTGTGTGTATTTGTTAGTCAATCAGAATGAAGGTGATTGCCAATCAGAATAATTTTCAGTTTCAAGAGCAGCACATGCGATCGTTGTCTATCAGCGAATAGAAAACGATGAGAGAACCAATCATATTTGCGGACTTCTAATAGGACACAACTGACTGGCTACTAAAACTCGAGGGAAACAGAACTAGCACGAGCTGTTGACGTAATGATGGCGCGAGCAAAGAGAATATGTTATAATTACATTTTGATGATCAAAGTAAACGAGTTTTCTTGCTTTTGTCGCGGAATTTTCTGAAAGAAATAGAAAACATATTTTCCGTGTTTCTATCAAGCTTTAGTATAAATCTACTAGCGTTTCATCATGAATGCCATTCTCTGATTGGCTACGCTACTCACTATCTATTCTGTTGAAATAGAAACACTCGTGGAAGTTTGGGAGAACTCGAAAAAGCTGTGGAAACAGCTCCCAAACTTCCACTCGTGTTTCAATTAAACAATTAGATTATGAGCTCGAGATTTCTATCGCGTGATAGTTGACGAGGGCGCAGCCCGAGTCAACTATTACGCGTAGAAATCGAAAGCGAATAATCTAATTGTTTTAATTTAAATCTACTAGTCGTTTAAAACTTTATCTAAATGCTTTTCACAGGCACTTCGCAAACGTCAGGAAGGGGCGTTCATTTTGTTAACAAGGGTACACTGCTACGCTAGTCACTATCTATCACAGAATAGGTAGTGAGTAGCGTGGCCAATCAGAGAACGGCATTCGTGATAGAACGCTAGTAGATTTATACTAAAACTCGATTGAAGTCATAGAAACACGGTATATGTTTTCTATTTCTTAAATATAAGTAAGCACGTCAGTTTGACGTCATGAAGCACGTCATGTTACTAAGCAACAAAACCTCTTAAGTCTAGTGTTTGGAAATCGAGCTGTTAATACGATCTTTCATTATTTTCACATGAAAATATAGCGGTAGTTGTACCGACAGAGCAGTCTTTGCCGAATTGACTCGGAACGGTCAATTCCCTGTATGAGAAGAATATTCATCACATAAACATCCAGTCCAAGATGATGAATAAAACTGCCATGATTCCCTGAGGGAATAGTCCAGTTTCGAGTTCGCCATGACCGCTGATTCAAAGCACTGAGAACTCATTTGCACAGGGTTAGCCTCGACCTAAAGTAAAATATTCACAAATTCCAGCAAGAAGATGACCTGTTTACAGCTCTGTGTATTGTTTAATTTTCAAATTTGTGGCACCTTCCCGCCGGTATTTGTGAATATTTTTTTTTAGGTCGAGGCTAACCCTGTGCAAATGCGTTCTCAGTGCTGTTATTCAGCGGTCATGGCGAATTCGAAACTGGACTATTGGCTATTTTAAATCATTTAAGAAGGTTTAATCTTAGATTAAACGTTCGCTTTAATCGAGCTGAGATAAGTAAGCAAGTCTTCTCAAGTATTTCACCATTTAGAAACCCATGAATGCAAGTCCCTGAACTTACCTTACCGCTGATTTATTTAGTTCCGTCTGCTATGCTAGCTAATAGAAGTCGACATTTTTTGAATATCATAGTTTATGTCATTTTGAACGTAAGATAACGCAGTAAAATCCTGGCCAATCGGAAAATTTATCTTCAAAGCTCAAACACGGTACTCGAGAAATCAGTTTTGAGAATTTGGTATTCTATCATGATTGGCACTCATTAAACGTAAACGATGATTTGTCGTATTCTCTTAACCGTCTATTTGAGATGCCTTGATGACGTTAGGTAGATCATTCTTGGGTATTAGACATGCGCACTCTGCACATGTCATTGCTTTTAGAAAAAGACACCACGGCGCCTTGTGAAGCAGGAGGCCAGTCTATCGATCAAAATCTTCTGTTGAGGACGTCTTGAAGACACTTAAGTATCGCCCACATTTCTGTTTCTGCTTCAACATTGAGGTGAGTTTAGCATAATAACTGGTTATGGTATTTCATGCGGTAAAGCGTAAAATGGCGCGCTCTTCCATGCCTCTTTTGATAATTTTTTTTTCGTTTATTACGTAACGCCGGAATTTTTGTTGAGTCTTGTCTATGAGAGTGAGATTCGAAAATTCCCTTCAGCTTTTTCCTTGGCATATCCACGGAGTGTTTTCAAAATCAAAGGACAGCCATTATTGTATATTTTACTTTGAACACAGAGTCGTTGGGCGCTTTAACGTTGTGGTTGTGCCATATTCAGCACATTACAAAACATAGCAAGTCACAAGTTAAAACAAAACGCTAATTTTCATTCGCATTACTCCGAGCTAGACTTAGCGAGTCAGTCGACAAGTCAACAGCCGTAAAGCATCGCAGCCCCTCACCGTCCTTCCGGAACAAATTCTATTTTTCGCCCGTTGCCATTTTCGCACTAACAACGAAAATAACAAAAACAGTCAAAGGAAAACCAGCTGGTTGCAAAGCTGTGTTCAGTTGAAGGATGGCCTATTCCAGCTGTACCAGTACAATGAAAACGAGTAAACGTTATTGTTTAAATGAAGACAAGGATGTAACGCCACTAGGTAGGTGAGTGTATTCCTCCATCCCAAATACTAAGCGACCAGCGAGCTAAAAACGAGAACGAGGAAAAACATGGCAGCCTGGCTGAAACATCAGTTCTTCCATATTCAACAGACGCGTTTTTCGATTTAACTCGTCACCCGATGGTTGAAGAAAGAAAACGGACAAATAAGGAACCGCACACAATTAATGCAACTCCGTATATCGTATGACAATTAATTGACACGTTGCGTCATTGCGGCAGAAAGATGTTTTTTGCTCAGTTAATCATAATTTCAAATCATTTTGGCGATCCGCAACCGTCGTTTTTCAACACGCTATGGTAAAATTCGTTGGTTTTTTTTTTCATATTGAGAAACGTTTCAAACCACTTTATCAATCGTTAAAGAGAATCTCAAAGCTGGATTACAAAATTCAGACAAAAAAAAAAAAAAAATAGCCAGCGACTGCAATACGAAACCGGTAAGCGCGGGGGAAACTTCAGTTATTGTAAAACTGGACTAAAATGTTTTTCAAACAATCCTTTCGCTGTATTTGTCTCTCTAATATTTGAATTTCATTGATATTAAATTTAAAAAAGTGCTCTGAAAAATATTGCTTTCTAATTTCTAGTGTCGCGAATCATACTTCTTCATACTTCGCCATATCCCGGATGTTGGCGGCGAGATAAACATACTTATATTCGTAAACAGACCTTTGATGTTAAAGCGCCGTCCAAACGAATTGAAACTTTCATTAAAAAAATGTTAAACCAAATGAAGGCAAATTAAGCCTACATAACGACAACGACATGAGATGGGCGTTATGTCGTTGTGTTTGAGCATCCTGACATAATCTGAACAGATAATAGCAACATAACAGCATTTATTATATAGACACGAGTGTTTTACTGGAAAATACACCACTCGTAAAATTCATTCGAAACTACATCCGGCACTCGGGTTGCGTATTTTCCATATTCTCACTAGTGAAGATATCGATGATTTCACTGATATCAAGTTTGTCTCTTAAATTGTACTTAAATTCGTTGGTATATGATCAAAACATCTTCGGGTCTCCCTCGAAAGTCTTCGGCAGTCTTCGGTAATCTTCGGAAATTTCCGGAAAATGTTCAGCAACGTTCGTGTGACCTTCGGACAAGTTTTGAAGAATCTTCGGAAATCTCCGAAACGTGGTCGGAAATCTTCGGAAAATCGTCAAATACGCCGTCATCAGTATGTCTATATAACAAAAAGAACACAGACTTGTCTCACCTTTCGGTCTCACTTCTGAGTCGATCGCGACGGTGTTAAATCCTTCGGTTCAAAATAAGAATCACGTTCAATTTTTTTGCAAGTCACGTGTAACGGCAGTGCCAGAGAATTTCGCAATAGTTATCAACAATTTTTATGCTGCTTAAGTCTCTTTGGTTTCAACTAAGGCTAGTTACTCAGTTGTATGGTTTCCCTTGCGTGCATGACGTTTCCACTTTTGATGTGATCAAATAAATGTCATCTTTGTCTGAATACACTGTCTGAGAATGTTTAATTTCCCTGAGTTTGCTGGTAAAAAAATACCCACGAAACTGCACGGAAAGCCGTTAATTTTGCAATGCTCTGATTTTCAGTGGTGCCATGTAAAAGAGTTTTACTTAAGTAACTAAAGCAATCGAGAAATAACAGAGAAATTTGTCAAAATCGAGAAAGAATCCCATGAATTTTTACGCACCATCTTGTCATTCATAATGAGCTGTTAGTCAATCATATTGCAGCCATAACACTTTCCTGAAGGGTTTTATACAGCCTGTACAAAGTTTCGAAATGTTAAAACAGCCACCTTGTGAAGTGGTTTAAGCTCTCAAGGAGCTATTTCCGGGAGAAGGTTGTAAGCGAAAAACAAAACTCAGATTATCTTGGAGTTACAAGTTTCACTTAGCTTGACAAAATAACCGGACCTCTATCATGTGCCGCTCAAGCCAGAATATATATTCAACTATGAAAGAGATTAAACGTGATTCCTCAACAGCAAGCAGTGAAAGTGGCAATGTTTCCATTCTCGACCAACAGAACAGAGAGCCAACGACAGCTATCAAAGAACGACCCTTGCAAGTTAAAAATGTCGAAGATATTTTAGGGAAGGACACAGTTTCACCGAGTGAAACAAGCCAGGTTTTATTGCCAAGAAGAAAAGTTTATCACGTCAAAGATCAGGACATCAGCATCGCGCTTGCAACTTTTCCAGAATTCTTTCCTCAAGGACTGGTCATGGACCAGGACACACTAGCACAGTCAGAGGGCCAAACATTAATAAGCAAAGGACTCCGTGTTAAGAAACAAAATTTACAAAATAAATGCGGAGGACTGGTACTGTGGTACATTCGGGAATACGGACTATAAACTGACTAGTTCATGGAAAGGAAAAGTACTTAGCGTACACGTGCAGCATTTGAAGCTATAAAATGTTTTAATTGACAGGGAGGGTTTTGAAACAATGTCAGTAAAGAGTCACTCTCGATTGTTCTCAATTTAATCTTGAATAAATGCTAAAACGTTGATTTACCGAGTTGTTGAACGCTAATTCAAATCTGCCAAGAAGTGCTATACTGTTCTGTACAGGTAATTAAATATAACACGCACCTGTCCAATTAACGCCTTTTATTCTTTTGCTTTGCGTTTTTTTCGCTGCTTTTTACACGCGATCGCCTTCTCGTAGTCGGTGCATTTTTCCTCCATTAAAAAACTGCTGAATGGTTATCTCGTTGTTCCACGAGCACCCACCCGCAGCTGGAAAATAAGGACAATACAAGCATTGATTAAATTGCAATACAGTCGTCAGGAAGCCTGTTTGTAGCTCTAGTCTCGACTTTCTGAGTCCCCTCCTAGACGAAAGCTCCTTATTTTTAAGTATTTCTTTCCTAAAGAAAGATTTACGTCTTCCAATTATAAACTCCTTGTGGTATTCTTGTATGTACTGATCTGAAATATAGACCCAAGCACTTTTGAAACGCAAACTTTCTCCCGACAATAAGTCATTCCTCCCTTCGCCGTCCCACCAAATAACCGTTTTGAGCTAAGATAACCCCAGGGTCCACTTTATCATTGGAATGTTAGGCTGATCCAGTAAATCCAAACCGCGAATAGATTATTACAGCAATTTTGCCCTCACTATACAACCGAACACACTCAAAGGTCGAGGCATGGGCGCGTTGGTCAACCAGGCCTAAGATATGTTTTTATTGTGCCAATAAGCTTACAACAAAGTGGATAAGAGATATATCAAGTAACATCCTACATGCGCCAAAGCCAGACACGTAAACCCCAGAAACCTCTTGTTAGGAAAAATAGGGACCGTGTACCCCCGACCAAACGCAGTGGCACCATCTTTGGGGTTTTAAGGTTGATCTATAAACAACAGAATGAAAAACAATCAGATGACGCTAATTACACAATAAAAATAAACCTTATGCGAAAGTGTTAGTGGCAAGGCTGACCGTAGAATGTGACAAGTTTTTCAACTATCTCTTTTTACAAACGTACTACCATAAGCCTTCGCGTACTACGCTCGCACCCAGTTCTCTGTTCCGTGTCGGCAAAATATTAATTTATGTCAATACCGATTATCACAAATTACATATTGGGAAATAGTAATTTGCGTGATTCTTGTGTAAAATTGTAAAACTGATTTTTTTAGTCGGACCGTCACACCTTTCGGTCTCACTTCTGATCTTTTCAGTCAATGTTGATTTTCGCGACGGCGTTAAATCGTCCGGTTCGAGATGAGAATCACGTACAAAATTCTGCAAGTCATGTATAACGGCAGTGCCAGAGAATTTACCAATAGTTATTCAATCAGCTTATGCTGTTTAGTCTCTATTGTTTCAACTAAGGCTAGGTATTCAGTTATACGGTTTTCCCTTGCATGCATGACGATTCCACCTTTCGACGTTATCCATTTTGTTGTGATCAAATAAATGTCTTTGTCTAAATACACTGTCTGAGAATGTTTAATTTCCACTGAGTTTGCGGGCAAAAATACCCATAACACTGTACGGAAAGCCGTTAATTTTGCAACGCGCTGATTTTTCAGTCGTAAACGAGTTAAAGTAAAGTAACCATTCCAATCGGCGAGGGAAATTTGTTCGGAAAAACTCTAAAACTGATCGCAATTCTGGTTTCAGTTATTTCAGTTATAACAAACATAATAATCTAGTGGCTTGTCTGGCGTTTTATTTGCTTACACACAGCAAAAGGTAAGAAAACAGAAACACCCTGCAATAGCGATCACAGGTTTAAAAAGTGAGACTAAGCCCATTGTGAGTAATTTCTCGAAAACAAAAACACAGTATTTTTGTAATAATGCTGCCAAATTTGCCAGAAAACCAGGAACTTTATTTTTGGTTATCCTAAAGGAAAAAAAACAAACACGAAACACAGCAGATTAAAATGTAGCTTTTGACCTAATTGTGGACTCAATTTTGGATATAACCCGGCTAATTGTTCTCGGCAGTTTATGATTTGCCGTTTACCTCACGTATTCAAAAATTGTTCGTCTTTGGACCTCTTTTCCAATATCTGCATGAAAACATCATTTCTTCAAATTGCTTAACTTTCCCTTTTCTAACTGTTCCAAATTTAAGAGAACGGAGAAACTGTGCTTCGTTTTGAATATATTGAAATATGTTGACATGATAATATTCGCCGCTACTGAAACAGACAGAATACTTGAAAGCAAATTATTCGTTTTATAAATCAATTATCATTTCATTTTGTTTGGTGAAGAGCTGTTAAGCTATAAAAACCATAGTTTAGAAGAAAGAGGAAAAATCTTTTCCTTTTAGTTGTTCAGTCTTCCGAATCGAACGCACAAAACGGAACCAGTAATATATGCGGATTCCTAACGAGCTGCAACAATGAGGTGTTAAATTAATTTTCTTAGCCTAATTAATGACTTTTGTCCGTTTCTTCTGAGGGGGCATTTAAATTCAGGGCACGTAATCCACATCCCAAGCTAAAGAGTTGTAATTTACTCTGCAGACTTTGAAGGAACTTCTGAAGTCAACACCACTGTGTAGTCCATCACTGGCAGATCAATGTGGCTTTCCATGGAACAAAACGTCCAAACAGATCTGTTAGAGCCACAGAGAAGTGCGAATGCAAGCGCAGCTTCAGACATGTCGAACGAAGAAGATGAACTTCTAAACTTGCATCAGCAGCAAGCAGAAACGTTTTCACTGGCTATAGTTTCTGTTGCATCCAAGGAAAGTGAAAATGCATCGAAAAGAAGCCAGCAGAAGACAAGCAGAAGGGATATTACTGGAGTTCAGGTGCAGCCAAACAGTGTTTCACTTGCTTTCGGCGCAAAATCCACTCTGCGAGGTACGCCATGGGAAGAGGCCCTTGGTGGCGTTACACGGCCGCGCTCGAAAAAGGCGGGAAAACCAACTCAAAGAACCGTTAAGGAGATGGAGATTATTTCTTTCTGGACACAATTTTTTGGTTAACCGATCATGCCGTCTTCGTGTTGGGTGTCTTTTAAAGTAATTAATTATAGCAGAACGCTTGGCAAAGAACGACATTCAGTGGTTTGTCTACGGTCAAACAAATTTTATAGTGTTGAGGTTGTCTGTGAAATAGAGAAAGCGACATTTTAATAGCTTCTGTAAGAATGATGTAGAGAAATTTATTTATCATTGTCTCATTTACAGCGAGTTTGCTGGTCATAAGTTATATAGGAAACTGATGTTGCATTTCTATACATAAGATACACAAAAAATAATAATTTTCCATCTTTGTAATTTTGTAAAATAGCTTCGACAACTGATGTAGTTTTCTGAATATGTGAACTCGCGATGCTTGTTATCATGTCCGGTCAACTATGGCTTACCTAGGTTCCCGCGGTTTCGTCTTTTATATTTTTTAATCACATTTGAGCCGTCAGAAGAACAAAGAAGAAAGATATAAAACCCCTTGGCCAGGGTATCTTTAATTGAATGGGACCGTCTTTCCGGCTAACGTAGTTCGCCGTTTAAACGTTTCAACAATTTTAAACTTCTATGTACAATCTTCTGATTTTGAGGTATTTGTACTTATATTTGTATTTACTAGATCAGTATTTTATCGGACAATCTGTATTTATTTGGGTGAGGCCGGCAAGAAATCTTGAAAAGCCAAAGAGATGATATGATTCAATAAAAAGCGGTGTTTCCGATTTGTGTGACATATAATTTGTTGTATTATTTATTATCTTCTTAAAGGAGCTAAGTCACGGTTTGCGCATATTGAAAAATTCAGCCTACATTTTCCAAGTTCGTCCTTTGTAACCCGTGTTAATCTTCTCCATCCTTAACCATCCTTGTTCCTTCATGGTTTATTATTATCCCTTTGGCGTTTTTCTATCTTATTAAACTTTTATTTTCAGGTTTTCTTCACTTCAGAGGTAAATTTGTACTTGGCTAAAATACTGTGACTGAGCTCCTTTAATTAATTTTCTTGCTATCACAACGTTGGCATCTTATAACTCTTGTCTTGTATGAGAAGTTGAATGAGTCGGTTCTTAGCCTTGGCAGCCTTTCAGTTTAAGTAATTGAAAATGAGGGAACCCTAATTTTTTCGTGGCTTAATTAAGTAGTTCGCCCATAAAAAAAATGTGTTAGTTCACTTATAGTTTATCAAGTTTTTAAAGAACTCCCTGAGAAATCTCCGAGGTTTTAGTAACGTTTGTTTCTATAATGCTAATAAAAAGCTAATACCTTTTCAGCAAGGGCGGCACTCGTTTATAATTACGTCATAGCCGAACATGGTGAGCAGTAGTTGCGTCACTGCTTACGTCAAAGGGTGACTAATCCTTCGACTTTCGGGCTTCACAGCTCAGGAAAGCCAAGTTAATAAAGCTTCAGTCACTTTTCAGCGGTTTTAAATACTTTTGAGTTATCAACACTTCACTATTCTTTTTTGTTTCATTAAAAATCGAGTGTCGTCAATAAAATGCTTGTATGTATTGCCAACTTTCAGGTAGACATAATGTCGAACGTTGGCAGAGTGAGCTAAGTTTACTCTGTGACTGACACTACTTGTCCATCTTATCAGGTACTCTGCGTCCAGGATCTAGGACTAGCATGGTCATTTAATCTAATATCTTTTTAGCCCAGTGCGAGGGCCGTATAGAGAGAATATCGGCCCGATATCTTGACTATGCGAGGTCTTTTCAGAAAATGTCAACTGCCGATATTTTCCCAGTCAGGTACCGCGGCTTATAAGAGGTTTATTACACGACTGAAACTTTTTTGAAAATATCCCTCGATCACTGACTAGAAGGACATCGTAAACTTCAATCGTGCAATTCTGATTGAGAGAAGACTAGCGTTCACTCGCAATGAATTTAAGTTTACGATGCTATCTAAAACAGAAGTCAGGTGATAGGCTTACGCAACTGGCTCGCCCTTATTTCCTCAGATCCGACGCGAAAGTAAAAATTTATTTGGGGTTATTTGTTAAAGACTTTTTGCCGAGCTGAAAACCTTTGTGAGTCTCAGCACTTCCTACCGGCTGGCTGCCTACAGTATTTGCTAATGACTTTATTTTCCGGCAAGAACTGCTTCCTTTTCTCTCATGCCATGAAGAAACGATTTAAAACAACTGATAAGATGAGACTGCACGCAGTCGTTAATCCTAGAAAAAATTATACAGTTGCTCATTACCTCTCCTCTTTCCATGGTCTGCGGCCACGGTGCTCCCCGTTTCTTCTGCGCGAAGCCGTTTTGAGTGACGTTTTGAGTGTCAGCCCTTGGTCAGAGCAATGGCTTCAACGAAGGGCTGACTGTGAGTCCGATGGAGAAAATCGTTCAACTAAATTAACACCGTCGGTAGCAAGTAGTTTTGGTTGTTCTATACTTTATGTAAGTAGTAGTAATAATCATTACCGGAAGTCCCACCGGGGCTAAAACAATCTTAATTTTGTAACCACGCCTTGTTGTTTAATGCTCAGTGACCGAGCCTCAATTCGCAGAATGGCGATCTCCCTCTCTCAGCTAAACTCCAGAATACCCGGCCACTTATTAGCATCTCATTGAATAAGAATAGCAACTATTGTTATATACCTCGTTCTTCAAAGCACTCCGGCACATGTAAATCAAGTGGCCGGGTATTCTGAAGTTGCTCCGATCTCTCTCTGACTAGTTTTATGGAAGTGTCTTTTTCCCGTGTAACTAAATGAAACCATACAAAGATCATGTTGGTGGCTAGCCGAGGAGTTGGCTGACTGATTTAGTAAGGTGAGAAAAATTAACTTCTCATACTTTCGTTATCAATACGTTTGTCGTACTACATGCCAGCCATCAGCTTTTATTGGATCGGTCAGTATAAAACGCAGACTGCGGACCGGAGGTAAAATGCAGACTGAAGGGAAAATGCAGACTGCAGAATGTAGACTTTTCAACTGAATCGTGTTATCGTTTCCATCATTGAAAGCTAACCGTAAACAGGCTAACTGGAGCGATGTTTAGGCTAACCCGGTTAAGTGATATTCAGGCTAACCTGAGTGATATACAATCTATCCGGAGTGCAGCCTTTCACTGCGATCACAGGCAGCCCAAGCTTTCTCTATGAACCACACAAGCAACACAATATGGCATCGAATTATAAGGGTTTATATGGGATTTTCTATAAGATATCCATGGAGGTAGTTTAAAGTGAAAATTCTCAATAAAAATGGCTTACCTTATTCCATGGATGTATTGTTTGCTCCTGGTGTGGTTATTTAACCGCTTTAACTTGATTTAAGCGACTTTTTTGAATTCCGGTTTTCCCTTCATAAAAAGAGGACAAGGCGAAACGCCTCAGTTGGGACAGCCTGCCGAACGAAGTCAAAAATCCCAGGCTAAAATGTGCCCACAGCCACAAATCCACCGCAGAATTCAAGGGCAAAGGTTGATCTTTCATTTCAATTCTCTAGCCACACAATCGCAGCCCTGTGAGTGATGCCAGGCAGCTCTTCGTGTCCCCAGTGAAACGATAAAACGATGGAAGAGCTCTGTGTCCATTTGATCCACTACACAATGACCGCTGAAATCGGCTTGGTAACCTCGTCATGTTGGCAAACCAAGACTCGCGGGGGTACTAGACCGCAATTTGTCAACCAAACTTCTTGTAACACCAAGGGGTTCTCTCAGGTCGAATTTACAATGCAAAATAAAAATCGTACAAAATGCTTTTGCAAAATGGCTTCAAAACCAAAGAAACAAAAGATCAACGGTGAAAGTTGCGTAGAAACTGAGGACATACAATCAGTTTTGAAGTGGAAGTCACTGATTTCATTCTTTATCTTCAGACTCATATACACCAGGCTGATTTCGATATTTATCATGTTGTCTTCGTACCAAGTTTCCTCACTTCTGGTCTTTGAAGGGTATGATCATTCTGAGGGGAGCTGCACGTTCCTCAGAACCTTGAGCAGGCGATGCTTCTGACACCTTTACACCAATGAAGTGACAGTTCAGATGGTGGATTCCACAAGTTCTTGTGGGTAGCACAGTTGGGAGAAGGTCTCCTTAATGCATTCACATTTGAGATGGATGTGAGTTTAAATGCACGGTTATAAAGCATTGTATTTCACAGCGCCCATTTGTATTTCACGTCAGTGAATCCGTGGATGGATTCGATGGAATGTCGATGATGGATGGTGAAATTCACAAGTTCTCGTGGCTAATGCAGTTGGGAGAAGGTCTCCTTAATGCATTCACATTCCAGATGGTGTGAGTTTAAATGCACGGTTTTAATGCATTGTATTTAACAGCGCCCTTTGTATGTCTTGTTGACAAATCCATCAGTGGATTCGTTGACGGAATGTCGACGATGGAAAGTGGAATCCACCATATGTCATTTCATTGATGTGAAGGTGTCAGAATCATTGCCTGCTCAAGTGTCTGAGGAACGTGCAGCTCCCACCAGAATCGTCTTGCCCTTCAAAGACCAGAAGTCAGCAAACTCGGTATGAAGACAACTTGGGTTCTTTAATCAAGAAAATGACTAACTGAGCTTTTATTCGTGCCAGAATAAAGTGGCCGTAATAACGAGGTGGCTTTAGGGTTTCACTATAGAAGTTAAGGTGGCTCCCTATAGTTTTACGATTGTACATGCGCATAGAACAAAAGCTCAAGTAATCTGCGTGCACTGAAAGGAAAACGTAAGTGTTTTCTGATTTTGGTGATGTCAACACGAGGACAAAAAGCAAAACTGACAGTGAATTTTCTCGCGTTTCCTTCGGTGAATTTTTTTAAAATTTGGCTCAGCTGTAACCACATACAGTTCCTACAAAATACCTCATTTTTGTTAAAATCTGTCAGAGCTAATCTAATATATTTAAAATAACGACAAATTACAGAATGTTGGAAAAACCGTCCGAACAACCATGACTTTTTACCGATTCAAAATGTTAGGCAATATCATTTCCATGATGTGGCAAAGTATGAAAAAATTTCACCAAAGGAAAGTATAAATATTAAAGAAATTAAGCCAGAATGTGGAATATATGTGCCTGTCATTAGATGAGTTGTTGCCATGGTAACAGCCTTAATCCAAAGATTGACAACCAAGCTTTATTTTAACAGTACCCATACTGGTAAATCTCTACAGGGTAAACTTTAAGAGAAATTAACTAAGTTTCCTTTTCTAGTACGTGCTTAATAGGGAGGGTGTTCATAAATACTTTAGGGAGCCACCTTAAGGTGAACCTTAAAGGCTTAATGATTTTTGCCCTAGGGTGAAGTGTCAACCAAATAATGTCTTGTCAATATTATAAATTATTATCAGGACAGTTTTAGTAATCCTGTTCTTAGATCTCTAGTTCTTATTACTAAATTAATAATCAGTAAATGTTTCCATTGCTTTGTTTGTTTCAGAGTTTCTGTGATCAGATATCCCTCAAGGGGGCAGCATTGCAACTGTATAAATGATAAAAAGTTTGTTGTGTCGATGATGGAAATTTTGTCATCTCAGTGTTGACTCCAAAGGAATACATGAGATGAGACATTAGGTGTGGTAAGTCAATTATTCTGAGATTTGAACAGTATCAGTAACTGTTGTTATTTACACTTGTTGACATTCCAAATGGAATTTTGGGCTTTTGCAAAGTCTGGCATCAATAGCTTGATGCCCTTCAAATGAGAAAAGAATTGAACAAACAACAGAACCACTGCCCCTAGCCACAACACAACAACAGCTGCTAATAAGCAAAAGAATTACAAGCTTATGAGAGCTGCTACACTTCAGGGCATTTCAACCTAAAGCTAAAATCTACACTGAGTGTATCGGAGGCAATAAATGGGGCATCATAGTCCTGGAAGTGTAACATACATTTCATTCACTTTTGCTTTGTTCAACAAAATGGCAAACATTTTTGTAGACTTTTTAACTTATGAAACACAGCACTATGTGAAGGGAGCTGCCAGCAACCAAATTAGTTTCTGAAGAACTGAGTCATGCTAAATTAGGTTCAGAGGTATGTTAAGTCTGAGCTGGACCAAGTGATCCATACTGCCTGATTTTGTCCCAGTTTCTGTAGCATTAAGGGCCCATTAATTGAATGGCTTGGTGCAAGACTGACGTAAGTGACTTTTTCGGGTGAAAAATGATTTTTTTGTTCAAAAGCGCCCGAATTTTTGCGTGTCGTCTTCAATTGAGTAGAAGAGCATAGCCCCGTATATTTTTTTAGCTGTTTTGCGCTTTGTCTTCGGAAAAAAAGAAAGAAACATTAGGACAACGGTGACTTCAAAACAATAATACAGGGCCGCAAAACGAAATGGATGAACATGG